TGTAACATTACGGGTAATTTGCTGACATGCTGCGCTGTGTGAAAGCAGATGGAAGACTGCCGGAAGGAGCGTGAGACGTCTGCTTTAGCCAATCAGAACACTCAGACGCATTCACGTCCGCGCAGTTTATGAAAATAGAAGCCTTTGAATATTTTTACAGACAGATATAGCTGCTAGATGTTAGTCAGATAATATTTTTGTTCCTCCCTTAAAGCCAACTGTGTAAAAAAATTGACGACAAAATGCTTACGATAAGCTGTTTGGTGACCTTCAAGCACTCACCCGTGTGCACATGAAGCAGCTGGTCAGCGCCAGCACACACACATATTATATACATCTCGACGTACGAAAGTGTTCCTCCATATGTTTTCATCGAAGTTGTTCACAATAGTTATCTATCCACAGAGTTTGTATGTAGTCAAATGTTTACAAATACAAGTGCAGCATTTTAGAGCTCATTTCTGGTTAATGTTGTTAGAATTTCCCAAAAAATAGGTCTTTTCCCAAAAAATTCTGGAACGTCCTCGTCTGTGTGAACAGCAATTTTTAAAATTTATCGGTAAAGTCGTTCCGGATATTTACCGGTATCACTATGTGAAAGGGGCTTTAGTCTTTTGTATGAACGCCGTCTTGGCTGTGCTCAAGCAGTGTACCAAGGTCCAGGCGTGCTCAGGATGTGCACTCTCATCCTGGTGTATTTTGTGGTTCTGTTTGCGGCATAGTGTTTTCATTCTCAGCTCTCCAGTATAGTTGGTTTCAGTTAGAGCTGGGATCAGAACATGATTGTCGCATGTGTGAGTGCATGGTAAGTGTTTTATTTATCCTGTACTCTTGTCTTCCGTTCTGTCTGTGTTGCCATTGTTTGTTGCACGTGGCCTGTGTTTACTCTTGGCAACATGCTGTTGTGTTTCATGTGAACATGCGGTTAGTGGGTTCACTCATTGGCTGTGTTCTAATCCTGTTTTACCATGAGCACATGGCTTTTGTTGTTTCTTTGTGTCATGTGCTCCTGTTTATTGTTTAGACCCAACCTCCTTGTTAACCCATTATCAGTTTATTCAGTTCACCTGTTTGTTTGTTAATTATTTCTCCTTTATAGCTCTCTCATGTCTGCTGTCCTGCAGTTCATCGTCGTTCATCATACAGTGCTCAGCATATATAAGTACACGACTTACAAATCTATCTTTTAAATTCATATTTTTAATAGAAAGCTATAAAATATTTTATTTGTGCATATACTGTACATTAGATTAGTCAGTACTGAAGATAAATCTGGAGTTTATCTAACAAAATAACTCACTATAATGGCCCAAAAACTAATAAACCCAAATGTATATGTTTTAGAAAAATAATAAATACAAATTTAAAAAAGAGGAAAAATCAAGAGAATCAGAAGATGGAAAAATATAGTTTTATAAATTTAGAAATTTTGTAGGTTGTAATTTGTTTTTGAAATATTTTGTTTAAATTTAATTGTATTATCTTTCAATTTCTAAATATGTGTTGTGACTAAAATAATATTTTAATAAATATATCTGTTTTGTTTAAATGCACCCAAATCCATTGCCTAAATTCACTGAGAAATGGATACAAATGTTCATTTTCACAATGGGGTGTACTCAATTATGCTGAGCACTGTACGTCATCTGTTGCGCTAGTATTGTCATGGCTTGTCTTGATCATTTCTGTCCTGTCCTGCCAGCCCAGTTAAGTTTGTGTTTTGTCTTTTAGTTAATGTTTTTACCCATCCGGTTGTTTTTGTTGTCTTTTTTATTTTATAGATAAAAAATCCATAATTCTACTACAATTCAGTCCTCTCTCCTTTACCCACCTACAAACGTGACAAATATGGAAAAAATATATTATTGATGGATAATTATTCATAGCATAATAATAGATTTCTTCAAAAAATCTACTAACATCAATAACAACATCATAAAAATAACATTGGTTTATGGTTGTAATTGTTGTTGTAAATTACTGAAATGTAATAATTAGGGATGTCCTGATCAGGTTTTTTTGATAGTCATTTGATTTTGAGTATCTACCGATACCGAAACCCAATCCGATACTTGCATAATACATTAAAAAACTTCAAATAGAGGTCCTACGTGCTCCATAAGCATGAGAAATCCAGGGTTCTCTACAAAATCAAATGATGCATTTTTTGTCTTTTCTTCAAACTCTATGTCACACCTGCTGCAGTGCCCTCTGGTGGTTTTCAAGGGCACCAGTTTTTGTTTTGGTTTTTGTGTTGTGTAGTCATGTGATCACTCCTTGTTTCCAGCTGTCCCTCATTGAATAATTAGTTCTCTCTTTATAAGCCCTGTTATGTTGTGTTTAGTTTGCCTTTGGATTTTTCAATGTTCTGTTTAGGTTTGTCGTGCTTTATTCGTGATCTGGTTCATCGTGTTTGGTTTGTTTGTTTGTTCACTTTGTTTAGTATCATTACTATGTTTTTGGATACCTGTTTAGTTTGTGTTTGATTCACTTTTGAGCTTAATTTTTGCACTTCATGTTTTCCTCGATTTTGGTACCTTGCCTGTCCCTTTGTCATTTTTTTGGGGATCTTTATTGTTTGACAATAAATGTGTTTTGCTGCACTTGGATCTTTCCCTTGTTTTTTGTGATACCCATTCGTGACATAATCCAAAGGCCATTACCAAGATCCAGCAGCATTTTTTTTCCCTCTCGCTCTCTCTTTTGCCCCAGTTTTTCTCCCCTATTTTTGCTTTGTTTTTTTTGTCAAGTATGAGTCTCCGAATGGTTCCTCCAGTGACTGAAAGGGAGCGGTCACTTCGTCTTCAAGCATTGGTGGCTGAACGTCAGCAGGGTTGGGAGGTAGGAGCTTTTGCTCAGTCATTTTGGACTCTGGCTGTGGGACTGGGCTTATCGGACTATGAACTGATGACTATATTTAATCAATGTCTTGATTATCCTCTTTCTATTAAGGGGATGGATGAACTTGGGATCAATCAATTTTGGGAGTTTGTTGTCCACCTTAAAGTGAATAGTCTAAAGGTTAATTCTGTTCCCAAGATGACTTTAACTTCAGAAGCCCCACCTAAAGATACCATTGCCCCTGACTGTCTTTGCATGGCCTTAGAGCTTATTGACTCACTTCATGAAATTTTGGATAGTGTTGCGACTCGGCCTACAATTAATGTTTTTGAATCCCCCCCTAAGGGAACTTCTAGTCCTGAGACACCCTTCGAGTTTGTTTTTGCTCCAGGCCCACTTTCTAAAATGGCTGATGATTTGGAATTTTGTTTAAACAAAGCTCATACTTCTGAACCTTTTTGCAAGATGGACATTAATTTAGATTTCATGCCTAAGATTGTGGCCACTTTGCAGCAATTGCCAAAAATAGTCAAAAGCTCTGAGCTTCAGTGCCATACCACAGCTATCTTCAAACCAGTGCCTGAACCCTTGACTAGTTTTGAAACAACTTGTTCGGAGGATTCATCTTTAGAGTTGGGGGAATCCTTATTTTCAATTTTTTCTGACTTTGATTTTTCTGTTCTTATAGAACCAGTTTTTTCTATTACTTTGGAAACCTCATTTTTTGGTTTTCTTGAGTCCTTGTTTCCCAGTACCAGTGAGCCTTCGTCCACAAGCCCTGGTGAGCATTCACCTTTAAGTGCCGGCGGGTCTTTAAGCTCCAGTGGACCCTCGCCCTCAAGCATTGGTGGACCCTCACCTTCAAGCGCTGGCGGACCCTCACCTTCAAGCGCCGGCGGACCCTCGCCCTCAAGCGCCGGCGGACCCTCGCCCTCAAGCGCCGGCGGACCCTCGCCCTCAAGCGCCGGCGGACCCTTGCCCTCAAGCGCCGGCGGACCACCGCCCTCAAGCGCCGGCGGACCCCCGCCCTCAAGCGCCGGCGGACCCTCGCCCTCAAGCGCCGGCGGACCCTCGCCCTCAAGCGCCGGCGGACCCTCGCCCTCAAGCGCCGGCGGACCCTCGCCCTCAAGCGCCGGCGGACCCTCGCCCTCAAGCGCCGGCGGACCACCGCCCTCAAGCGCCGGCGGGCCCTCGCCCTCAAGCGCCGGCGGGCCCTCGCCCTCAAGCGTTGGCGGGCCCTCGCCCTCAAGCGTTGGCGGGCCCTCGCCCTCAAGCGCCGGCGGGCCCTCGCCCTCAAGCGCCGGCGGGCCCTCGCCCTCAAGCGCCGGCGGGCCCTCGCCCTCAAGCGCCGGCGGGCCCTCGCCCTCAAGCGCCGGCGGGCCCTCGCCCTCAAGCGCCGGCGGGCCCTCGCCCTCAAGCGCCGGCGGACCCACGCCCTCAAGCGCCGGCGGAACCTCGCCCTCAAGCGCTGGTGGACCCACGCTCTCAAATGCTGAGTCCTTGCCCACAAGTGGTGGCGGACCCTTGTTTTCGGGTGCTGGCAAACCAACATTCTCAAGAGCCAGTGGGTCCTTGCCTTTTACACCAGTTAATGCCCCATGGAGGAAAACGGACATCTCATCTGGACCCTCAGGATGGTCCTCTGTTCCACGTGGGGGGCTACCAAACCCACCAGTTTTAAATTGGTGGAACCACAACTGGCTAAAAGGGACCTTCTCCCCTATGGTACCACCATGGTGGTCCTATATTTGGGGATTGATATGTCGAGACTCTATCAATAACCAGTTCCTTAGACTCTACTTAAGTCCTTACAGACTCTCTTTGATTCCTTGTTTTGTGTTATAAGGATTTTTTTGTTTGGTTTGTAGTGTTGGTCTGTCCCACCATCCCTCCCCCGGTCTACCTCCGTTCCGCCTCCCTCCTAGATGGGTGTTTTTGGGAGTGTCTGGTAGCCACTCCTTAAAGGGGGGGTAATGTCACACCTGCTGCAGTGCCCTCTGGTGGTTTTCAAGGGCACCAGTTTTTGTTTTGGTTTTTGTGTTGTGTAGTCATGTGATCACTCCTTGTTTCCAGCTGTCCCTCATTGAATAATTAGTTCTCTCTTTATAAGCCCTGTTATGTTGTGTTTAGTTTGCCTTTGGATTTTTCAATGTTCTGTTTAGGTTTGTCGTGCTTTATTCGTGATCTGGTTCATCGTGTTTGGTTTGTTTGTTTGTTCACTTTGTTTAGTATCATTACTATGTTTTTGGATACCTGTTTAGTTTGTGTTTGATTCACTTTTGAGCTTAATTTTTGCACTTCATGTTTTCCTCGATTTTGGTACCTTGCCTGTCCCTTTGTCATTTTTTTGGGGATCTTTATTGTTTGACAATAAATGTGTTTTGCTGCACTTGGATCTTTCCCTTGTTTTTTGTGATACCCATTCGTGACACTCTACTGCAGTGTGAGCTGACTCGTCTTTGGTTGGGTTGCCTGGGTAAACTCGCTGTTTTGGGTCGGATTAAGGTGCCTTATCAGGTTTGTTGTTTTAAATGTTTTTCTTTCCACCTCCTTTCCTTGCAATCCCAAGTTTGCATATCTCACAGTAAGCTATGGCAATGTTGTCGTCATCAAGTTTATAATACCTCTAGACCACAGACATACTCGCGCTTTCCGCGTCTATATGCTTACTTTGCCGGCATTTAACCAATAGCATCTCTGCAACAAAGTGATGTCATGCCGCATGTGTTGATGTTTCTGTGTAAAGTCCAGAATGAGGTCTAACTCTGTGCCATCATATTTCTATAGATGTGTTAAAAAATAATGAGAATAAATATCCGAGTCGGAAACTGTGTGATCAGGCACAGTTTCCGATCACATGGTCGGATCAGGAAATCCCTAGTAATATTGTTGCTACGTTAGTAATGATACAAAATTATTACAACACAAATTATTAATATAATTTATTATCAATCAATATTAATAGATTTTATAATTTGATTATTACTTACTAAAAAATAAATTAAATTTATTAAATTAAATTAATTAAATTAAAATTGTTAAAAATAAATTAACAGCTACAATAAATTTATTATTCATTAATAATTAAGAAATAATAATTGTTTTGTTTTTTTCATACCAGACTGAGTGTTTGCCACATCAGAAGAGTTTCTTAAGCCCACAAAGGCAAACTGGTAAAGCCTCCAGTACCGCTGGTCTGCAACCTCAACAGAACGACGCTGCCATCTATACTGGATCTCATTCTTTGGATACCCATCTGCAAACGGAAAAAAACACATCCACCACATTACATGTGACCTTTCAGTTCGGTATGTAGAGTCAGTGACAAAAGTACAATGATGGCAGAATGGCACTGTTTGACTAAAGCACAGCATGCCCTTCCCATGCCCACAGTCAATGATGACACATGAGAAGCTCATAACGGATGGAGGAGACAGCGGATGGAGACGAAGGATGAGAATCTGCCCTCACACATTGCAAGGTTGGAAGATGGTGGTAAGTGCAGACCTGCTGCAATGTTAAGGTTTGGTTGGCCAGTATTGGCAAGGCATGGTTGGCAATGCGAGGGGTTTGGCTGCATTTAGGACAGGACATAAGAAGTCAACACCTACAGCTCGAAAACTCCAGAGGGCACGAATGTTCGTCCATTGGAAAGTTATGCAGCTTAAGGTAGCATTCCGCATTAATAGTCAACCTGACAGAAAAGAATAATAGACAATAGCAAAACAAAAAATGGTTGATTGTGACATTTAAGAGGAAGTGCATTTGTGCAGGCTTTCATTTTTTTACTGTGATACTAAAGATTAAACCCTGAGTCTAATTTAAAGGGATAGCTCACCCAAAAATGAAGATTTACTTATTCACTCAACCTTTATGAGTTATTTTTTCAGCACAAAAGACAGTATTTTTTGAGAATTTTGGAAACCAGCTGGAAGTCAACAATTGGTTACCAACATTCTTTAAAATATTGAGTTTTGTGTTCAACCAAAAAAGAAACTCATACAGGGTTAGAGGAATTGATGGTTAGTAAATTACATAAAATGTATTATGAACAATGAATGAACAATCCCTTTAACAGTACCTGACATTAATATGTGAATCAGATGTAATGGCCTCAACAGACAGCAAGTGTAACTCCATACAAAAGCAAATGCTACAGGACAGGAATAAAAGGACACAAAAAACACTCAACTTTTGAAGAGATAGTTACCCAAAACTGAAAATTTGCTGTTAACATATTCACCCTCAGGCCACCTAATATGTAAGAGATTGTTTTTCTTCAGAAGGACATTTTAAAAAATAGTTTTTAGCTCAACATGGTCCTTTGTGAATCACAAGATGCAACTCAACAGCTACTTTTAGAGAGAAAATGACAATACTAGGGTGTCTTACAAAGTTAAAATGATCATTAATATTATTACATCAACAGCCTTAGCAAACAGTTCTGAGCATGTTCAAAATAAGCACAAAAGAACAGCGACAACACATCCAAGAGGTCACAAAAGACCAAACAAAAAAATACAAATAACTACAAGCCTCACTTGCCTCAGTCAACCCAGCCTCATTACCGTACCCAGGTCTTCATTTGTGGGCACAGTGAAATACGTAACTTGAGGTATGTCTGCTCGCAGTTTTTGTTTTTGCAAATCCTCCAGAGGCCGCTGTGTATGCTTTTTGATGATCTAAAATGTCTTTCGCATGTGCTCTTCTTGCATAAATCCACCAAAGCGCATAACATACACTTCAACCAACCAGGCCAGCTTGCTGTCGACTGACTGACTGACTGACCCACCCATCCCTGTCCCTTAAACTAACCCATAGTGTTTTCAAAAGCAATCCATAAAAAGAAAAGTAGTTGCGGCCATGTGATTTCACTACATGCACATTTTCAGTCTGTTGTTTACTTATTATAATAATTTTTTTTTTTTGCATTTGTTTTACCTGATTTGTATAACCATTCTTCACCAGACTCAAACCCCTTTGTCAGCTCTGTGTTCCAAGTCCATCTGAGAATGCGGTGAGCTACTGGGTAAACTGGTAGCAAAAAAGCCCAACCTAGGCTCATTCTGGAAACGTAGTTCCGTGGACTTTTCTGGAGATTGCGAAATACGTCCTAGGAGGTACATATTTGTGCAGTGTTTGTTTTCACGAATCCGCGAGAGGCCGCTGTGTGCTCTTTTTCGCATTTCGAACGCTTCTCACATGCGCCGTTCACGTCCACGCTATTCTCGTGTAAAGCCGCCATAGGCCGCTGTCGAGCGACCGTCTGTCCAACTGACTGAATGATTAAATGATTGACTGGGCAAATGGCCAATCGGCCGATTTGATTACCAATTGAGCCACTCGCCTGCCCTTCCGCTCGCTTCTCTAAACCCAAGCAACAATTTACAAAAGCCGTCCAGAAAAATAAAAGCTCTCGTCAGATTTTGCCAGCGTTTTTACATTTCACCACATTCCCACCCTGTTATGAACTCGTTCATTTTATTTTTTTGGATTCTGTTTTTGTCTTGACTGATTTCTGGAACCGCTCTACCTCGGACTCAAACCTGGTCGTCGCTGTCATCGCGGTCAGCTCCTCTCCCGGTTTTCCGCTCCGCTGACGTACGCGACGTGCTAACCGGACAAACTGGTTAAGGCGGGAAAGCCCTCCACACGGAGGTGAGCTGTCAGCCAGCAAGCGCAAAGAGGAGCGGTATCAAAATGCCCCTTAGCGTTTACTTGAAAAAATTAAATGCAGCCACACATACCTCCGGCCACGTAAATCGCGGTCCCCAGAAACATCCGCAGGACTACGTTTTCAGAATGAGCTTGGGTTGGAAAAGCCATCCATACCAAGGTAAACATTCGGCTGATAGGCTAAATAGAACAGAAGCCATCTGCAGCGTCAGACTGCCCCATAGCATTCATTTTAAAGACGAAACGCAGCCATTGTTACCTCTGGCTACTCTGGCTACTCTGGCAAATTTGTGATCTCCAGAAATGTAGACAGGGGTACATATCCACAATGAGCCTGTGTTAAGGTGAGTGTTCATGACCACCATAAGAAAATGGTTCCCATTAAGACAAAGCAAAAAGAACATAAAGGCTACTCTCTGTTTTGCCAGAAAACAACATAATAACCCGCAAGACTTTTGGTAAAATTCTCGAAATACTCAACGAGTCAAAATTGTAGCCTTTTGTAAGGTGTTTGTGTGGCGTAAAAGTAAAATATGATGGTGGAAGTGTAATGGTCTCGAGCTAATGGTTTGGCTGCTTCAAGAACTGGAAGACTTGCTGTGATAAATAGAATCATGAATTCTGCTGTGTAACAAAATATCTTGAATGAGAATATCTGGCCATCTGTTAGTGACCTCAAGCTGAAGCGAACATGGGTTCTGCGGCAGGACATTGATCCAAAGGACACCCACAAGTCCACTTCCGAATGGCTGAAGAAAAACAAAATGAAGACTCTGGAGTGGCCCAGTACTGATTTCAATTGAGATGCCGTGGCATGAGATTAAAAGGGAGGATCATGCTTGAAAATGCTCCAATGTGGTTCAATTACAATAGTTCTGCAGAGATCGATGGGCCAAAATTTCTTCACAACACTGAAGATGATTGAGTGAGGTCAGGGGCTCCTGAAGTCTCAATTAAAAGGTCAAAAGAGAGTCTTTCTCAAGAAATATTGGTTATAAAAAACATGCTTTTGTAAGCATCCACATATATAAATCAACAATTTTAAAAAGAAAGCAAAATACAATTAGCGGTAGGTCATAAGTAACATAATGCGCAATTCAGAGCAGTCCAATGTGAGAAATGGCATTTATGTACTCCCTCAGCTGCCTACACATTTGTTTCATTGTGGTGTTTGACACTTCCACTATTCACAACTCTAACTATCTCTTTTCTAATCAAACAGAACAGCTTTGTGGTGGACTGGAGTGAAATGATTGCATGCTTCTCTGTTCAATCCTCTTTGAAAACTTTCTACTTTCTTTTTTCTACTTTTACCAACTTTTTTTCTTCTAGAGACTGACATCATCATCCATCCAATGCTTTTTTGGGAGAAGAAATTCTCCTTTTTTTATTCATCCAGGATAATCACAAGTGATCTTTCTGATGAAACATACGACACACACATCCTTCCTTCTCATTGTAGACAAACAGCATCAGCTCATATGTCAAACATTTTGACTCTCTAAGTGCTGCTAACCACTCATTTGCATTGTATGAACCACAGAGCACCAAAGATTTAGCTAAAAATTTTCTTTAACATTCTACTGATGAAAAAAAAGTCACCTACATCTTGTCTGTCCTGAGAGTAAATAAACAGCAAATTTTCATTTTTGTGTGAACTGTCCCTTTAATTTTAGTGATAGACGCACCTTAGAGTGTACATGACTCTTCCATTGCTCCAGAGCCGCAGAAGGCGATTGGGGGTGGTGATCCAGTGGGCGTCAGATTTACGTGAGTTGCGGAAAAACGTGTCAGGGATCCAGATTTTTCCGACCATGTTGCTGTTGAGCATGAGGAGTTTCATTGAGCTGTTGAATTTGAGTCTGCTGTCGTACCACGTCTGAGCAAAGAAGATGTCTATGGTGTACTCCTAAACAAACACACACACAACAGTGAGAGTTTTATCTGTAAAAGCCTTACAGTTGCTTTTTTAACCGTGAAATTATGAGATTATTGGCTGTGACAGTGGGTATAATAGTTGTGAAATGGATCTAAAGCGGTTGCTTACAGTGTCTGTTTTATTTACAGCTCTGAAAATAACATGTTATTGTCCATTTCTGCTCACCATGTTGATGGGGTCTACTGGGCCTATGCTGTTCACGTACACTGCCGTCTCAATCACCGTCGGTCTCACTAGAATATAGTTTCAAACGCAAATATATTTAAATGACATCACATACAATAACATGATCAAAGAATATACCTGTATGTATATGTATAAATACAGTGCTCAGCATAATTTAGTACACCCCATTTTGAAAATGAATATTTTGATCCATTTCTTAGTAAATATGGGAAATACATATTGGTGCGTTTAAACAAAACACGTTTATTAAAACGATATATCTATTAAAATTATATTTTAGTCACAGAACATTTTTAGAAATGGGAAGCTAATACATTTAAATTCATGGAAAATATTGCAAAAAAACAAACACCAAAATTTCAACAATATCTTTTTTCTCTTGATTCTTCCTTTTTTTTTAAATTGTATTTAATATTTTCCCTAACATATAAATCTGGGCAACGAATGAAGTCTTTTCGAACCCTCATTGTAAGCTTTTTTGTTAGATAAACTCCAGCTTTGGCCTCAGTACTAAACTAATAAATATGCACAATTATAATGTTGTTAAGCTTCCTATAGAAAATATTAATTTAAATAAGAGATTTGTTGGGTGTTTACTCATAGATGCTGAGCACTGTATATGACAAAATAATACCAACATAAAAAACATCAATGTTATTACAATAATATACCAATATCAATTACAATAATATATATAATGCCAATATAATATATATTGGTACAATAACACATGAAACATACAGCACATATTCAGCTTAAAACAATGATCAAATTGTAGTATGCTTATAAAATCAAAACTGACTGTAATCAAAGTCTATAAAATACACAAGACATGTCACTCATATCTTTTTAAATTAGGTAAAGTGTAACGGTTAATATGGTGAATAAAGCTCTGCCTACTAGATCGGGAGCCAATCATCGATCACTATATGGCGAATAAAGCCTGCCTTTTAGTTCAGGAGCCAATCATTGATTGCTACAGACTGACGATTGTCCAGGTGAGGGGCTTAGACCAGACATGAGTTTCTGCAGATTTTGTGTGGTCTAGATGTATAGAAATTAAACTAAATAGACAATTCAACAATTGACAACTGACAAATAGACAATTCAACAATTCATAATATGAAATTCAATGGTAAACTTGGCATGCAGTTTTGGAAAATTTGATGTTTTCCGATTTGAGCATACTGACCGAGAGGTGTTTCAAAGATGGCCACCGAGTGAAATTACTTGCCTTAAAGGGACTTTGACTTTGTTTAATCCTCATAATGCATTTAAAATATATAGATTTTTGCATTCTGCTTCTGTGTTTGGACTCAGAATTAACTTCAATCAGCAACATTTATATAATAAGTCAATGTGAGAAAGTCATAAATGTAACCATGTTTTACCACGTTATTACTCTTTTTAACCGTTTTTGTCTATTTGAAAATTAAGAAATTCTTTAATATTTGAAGTTGCATTTGAATCACATCAAAAACAACATGAGAATGTGCATGCATGTGTACGCATATTTTTCCAGATATTTATGAGAAACCTTCAATATAGTTTTATCATTGTGTCAAATTTGCATATAATTTAAATGTTATTGTACATGTTATGTTAACACCTACTCATGAAAATTCCAAATTTGTAAAACTTACTCATGGAAAATTAACAGAACAACAAAAATATTAGTCAGAAATGGTACTGAATACTAAACCAAAAAAATAAGATACTGATATTGTTTTATACTTAGTGTTGAAGTCAGAAATATTAGCCCTCCTGAATGTTGAGTCCCGTTGTATATTTTTTCCTTAATTTCTGTTTAATGGAAATATTTTTTAACACATTTCTAAACATAATAGTTTCAATAACTCATTTCTAATTACTGATTTCTTTTATCAATGATGACAGTAAATAATATTTGACGAAATATTTTTCAAGATACTAGTAAGTAATTCAGCTTAAGGTGGCATTTAAAGGCTAGGTTAAGGCTAGGCAAGTTGAGGTAATTAATCAAATTACTGTATAATGGTGGTTTGTTCTGTAGACAATCAAAAAATGCTTTAGGGTGGGTAATAATAATTACACTAAAGTAGTTTTCAAAATTTAAAAACTCCTTTTATTCAAGCAAATATATATATATATATATATATATATATATATATATATATATATATATATATATATATATATATATATATATATATATATATATATATATTAATAACTTAATTATAACTTTCCCCAGAAGAAAAAATAATAGAAATACCAATAAATACCTTTGCTTCATTTAATATCACTTGAGAAATGTTTGAAACGGCTAACAATTCTGACTTAAAATGTATCTAAATGTTCACTTTGTGAGCAAACTTACACTGCTACAATGCTACAGCTGACAAAGGGCATATTTGCATGTTTATCAACAAAACGTATTCCCATATTTGGGTTAAAAATACATTTTACAACTGTTTTAACACTAACATAACATCACTGATAATTTAACAAGTATTTGTGATGCTTAAATATGCCCTGTATATGCACAGAATCATGATGACCCAAAAAGGAGCATTTCAAATATTCCCACCCCCCAAACGTTTCCTTTATTCTCCACTTTTAGACATTAGTATGCATCTCTACCTACACAAAACAGACCGAATGTGTTCATGCAATTTTCTGTCGTGAATGTTTGATCTGTGCATGTCAATCCAAAGAAAAATTGTATTTTGTCTTTGTAGTTTTTCTCTCAAATGTTTTTTCTTGCCTTTCTCCATCTGCATCATTTTTGTGTAGACTATTGAAGAATGTTTACCAATAACCAGACAGGCATTTCTTAGAAAACCCACATTCAGTCTGGCTCCATTCTAGCACGTAAACATCCAATCAGTTCCCAATCAGTGGATAAAATCACATTTTCTCGCTGGATATCCTGTTTCACTCAGAAACGCGCCACATTACGAATGTGAAATGAGCTGAAAATGCAATTCAGGCTTCCTATAACAGCCACACAAATTACTCAAAGCTGCCTGAATTCTCATCCTTGAGCTCTCAGAAATATTTCTGTCGCAGGAAATCCAGTCACCGGCAGATGACAAATCGCACAAACTCGGCTAGTTCAGCCACAATACTTCAGCATTGCTGTGATGAACTGAGTTCTCCTCACACTTACACTCTCTCCCTGTTTCTCAGACACATGAAACGCAGATAAAGAAAGGCGATCAATAGTGATTTGGGTCTATTGTACAAGAACACCACTGAGATAAATCCTCTTAAATAACTGAACTCTAGTCAGCAACACTTCCTCAACACCAATGCAGGGAAAATAAAGAGACCTACAGTATACCGTTCATGCATAGAGAAAAAATCAGCAAAATATAAAAGCAGAGCACCTCTTTGTTTAATTTACTGCAATAGTAACACAGAAATGATGATTGGAGAGAAACATGAACTGCTCCGAGTGTTTAATTGCCACAGTGTGCTCCTCTTCACGTGACTTCCTAATAATGTTGCTATTATCTTATAATTATTATTTTGCAGTCACCCGTAGGCTGGGTTTGAGGGTCATGAACACACCTAGACAAAATCTGCAGGGTATTTTCCTGATTTGTGGACACAGATACTGCATTGATGAAAAATTCATATGATTTACAACATATATTCAGCCTGTGCTTCCAGAATATTTGCTGTTGTAATACTTTTATAAATGCAAAACTGAATATAGCTGCTCAATAGACATTATTACAGTGAATGTTTCACTGCCGCAAAGGAAAATGTGTTTATCTTCATCTTATTTAATCATGTAAATTATTAACTCACCCCAAAAGGAATACATTGTCACCTTCATGTTGTTTCATACTCATAAGACTCCTAGAAACCCAAATTAAGATATTTCTAATCAAATATCATGCTTGGTTGATGTGTGAAAACCAACGAGGTTTATTCGTGGCTGTTACATGGCATATTTGAGTTTCCACAGGAACCAGTTTGTTCTCATGCAACAAGCATGTTTGAGCTTCTGTTTGTTCAATGATGAATGTTCATATTGGATGCACTGAAATGAAAACTCAGGGCCAAAACCGAAATCACAAATTTTGGATGCACTTGGCCGAAAACCAAAACTGATCATTTAAACCATTGTTTTAAAAAGAGAAGCCAATACAATTAACACATTTTACGTGAACAAGTAGAGAGTGTCAGTTTACCAGCATTGTCATTGCAGCGCAGTTGAGCTATTGGAAGCAGCAGGAACAAGTATACAACTTAGAAATAATGGGCCCTAACACCTGGCGCAAAAGGGGCGCAAGTCGTGTTTGACACGATTTGTTGCTATTTTCAGACCAGCGCAACCCTAATTTTTACATTTGGCGGCACACTGATTAAACAGCAAATCTATTTGCACCACTTTGTGGAATCATGAATGTGCCGGTCCGTAAAGGAGGCGTGTTAAGGTGCATTGTTGGTGCATTGCTATTATGAAGAAGAACTGAATTAGATCGCACCATTAACCAACTAAAAGTTGGTCTGAAGTCCAGTGTAGAGCGCGTTAGTTATGCTGGTCCAAACGCGTACACATTGCTTAATACACACAGGATGTACAGCAATACACAAATATCTTTAAATATGAAAAAAAATTAAGGTTTAAAATGTTACAAAAATGATTTTATAATAATAGTATAATTATAATTAAAAACCACTACCTCCATGCCTTCTTCACCTCGGAGTGCTTTTTTCAGTTTATTTATACATATTTATATTTTTAATAAAAACAAGTTTAGATTTGTCCATCTGTCGGGTTTTGGGGATGTATACTTCACCATATGGGACATAAGAACAGGATGTGTGTTTGGATATTACTCAGTTTTTTTTTTTCCACACTTTGTTATTATTGTTCATTTATTCGTTTGCTGGAAATTAGAACTGAATTTAGAAATTGTTTTAAAACAAATCTTTGTGCTTAGCCAACTATATTAAAGAGCCCATATTATGGGTTTTTGAAAATTCCCCTCCATGTAGTATGTAACACAGCTCTAAGTGAAGTGAAGTATCCAGCTAAGGCTTAAATCTGTAAGAGTACAGTGTTTAAAACGGTTGATTCATCGATAAAAGAGTCGACTCATAGTACTTCAAACGAGTCGCCTTGATACTGAGTCATTAGGTGTTTCGCCATGACGCACGAGCGAAACCAAGTTATTCACGTGCACGCGCAAACCCGGGAGATTTCAATCCTGCGGCCCCGCCCTTTGACGCAGAAACCCAGACACACACACACACACACCCACAAACACACAAACACAAACATGCCGGTCGATTGAAGTCACACTGCAGATGGATATTATCGATTCTCTACCCAAAGATGAAACCTCAGCATTATAACCCAGCAGTTGGAAACTACTGGAAACTTCTGCAAACTACATGCTACAAAGAATACTTCATCTGCGTTTGTTAAAGGAAGGATCAGTAACTTACTGATGGACGTCAGGATGGGTTTCTTCCTCCATTTCTCAAGTGTAAGTACGTGCGATTAAAGTTGTTGCCTCGTTTACTCTAGCTTGCAACTGTATTTAGTTGTGATTTGTTACTTGTAACCGCGTGTACTGTCTCAGGTTAACTCGCTATATTCTTTTATCGCGTGCAAAGTCACGTTAAAAACGCGACGCGTGCTGCTTTGTTTATAGAGCTCCGTGGACGAGGGTAGTGTGTGCGTGCGTGTGTGTGTGCGTGCGCTGTCGGTGTGTGTGTGTGTGTGCGCTGTCGATGTGTGTGTGTGTGTGCTGGAGGTGTGTGTGTGTGTGTTTTTGTGTGTGCGCGCGCGCGCAAGGACGAGGGCAATATGTGTGTGTTTGTGTGTGTGTCTGTGAAAAGAGCAGAGTGAGACAAGCTAGAAGATCTCCTCGACAGTTTTTGGAGTTTTTGTTCAATAAAATAGTTAGTCGTCTGTATTTTCAAGTCCATCGACTGTATTTACACTAACCCACTGGCAGCTAAAATCCACGCCTACACTATTGAGCGTGTATGAACTGTGATTACTTTTATATTGCTAGTTAGCTGTTGGGCATTTCACTCTCTCACTGAAGGCAGTCAACCAATCGCAACAGACTGTCATCGGTCCAATCAGCGCAGATTAGCTTCGCGCTAAGAAGGGGTTTGGGAACAAATTAATCACTGGACGATTCATATGGGAGTCGCTGGAATAATTAGGTTAAAATAAATGCAGATTATAGGACCATGAAAGTGTTTTTTTGACCCTGCATGCATATTAGACTGTTGCTGGAGACCCTTACAACCAAGATATGACCCTATTTCATGTATAATTTGGGCTCTTTAAATATGTAAGCTAATGGATGTCTTCAGTGGAGTGAGTTTACACTGTTTCCTTAACCAAGAAATTAAAATAGTAAAGAGTAAAAGTAAAGAGGCTGAATGGAGGAGGCTCATTCTTTATCTTTGTGCTGCAGATGGTTTTCTCGCTAGTGAAGCGTTCAGTTTTTCCACTGATAAAGTCCGCCATGTAAATAGCAAATGCACCATGGCACGACTCAACTGACTCTTAAAGGGAATGGAAGATAGAACTCTAAATGGTTAAATGCACATCATGCTTAAACCATAACCATAACTCATTAAGAGAATAAACAGAACCCTGTTAGACCATGTGCTGGGGCGCAAAGCGTATTTTTCCATCCTTAAAATAGCAAAAGTGAATTCGTACACACCCTTAATGCTTTTGAGCCATGTGCTTCAGACTTTGTGTCTAGATTGTTAAAATAAAGCTTTTAAAGTGTTCTTGTGAGCAGTGTGGAGAACATGCATAGAAATCCGCAAAGGTACCTGTACATATGCAGAATATCAACAGAGCTGAAAATGTAGCTATTTTGACATTTGAATACAACATGCACACAAGCTAGTAGACAATATGCTCTGCTGCTCTTGCGCTTTGGTCAATCCATTGAAATTAATGGTTTTCCAAGTACATCACTTTTCACCTATTTTTGCCATCTAAAAAAAGCTGTTTGTCGCAGAATTCATCTTTTTTCAGCTCATACTTTTTTCTTTTTTTAGGCAAAAATCTAAAATGCCATTTTTAGAATTTTTGACGTCAAAATGTTGTTGCATCTTTAGTTTAGATGCAAATTACAGTCATCATTTGTTAATGTAAAGTGAAGTTTTTTGTGAGTAAAATATATTCAAATATCTTCACTTGTGTTCCAAAAATGAACAAAACTCATAATATAACAAAAATACTACACAAGTCAATGGCTGTTTTTTCATAAACATATCATCCTTTGTGTTCAACACAAGAAAGGAACTCAAACAGATGACAGAATTCTCATTTTTAGGTGATCTATCCCTTTAATGTTTTGGAACAACATGATGGAAAATATAATAACGTCTTTAAAAAAGTTTGTTTTTCCTTTTTTATTTTTATTTATTTATTTTAGTGTGTGTGTGTGTGTGTGTGTGTGTGTGTGTGTGTGTGTGTGTGTGTGTGTGTGTGTGTGTGTGTGTGTTTGTGTGTGTGTGTGTGTGTGTGTGTGTGTGTGTGTGTGTGTGTGTGTGTGTGTGCATGCAACCTTTTCCGAAAGTGAGTTACCTCCGATATCCGGTCTCAGTTTGTTGTCATAACCTTGCAGTAATTTGTTTAGGATAAGAGTGACGTCGCTCTCGTAGACCTTTGGTGATAAAACCCATGTTTTATTTATAGGGACGTCCTCATAATCTTCCTCCTCTGCTTTGCTTGGGCCAAATGCCATGCTGTCATAAACAGAGAACCAAAGAGAAGCAATATAAGCAGACAGACACTGGAAAGGTAAATAATGGAGCAATATTAGTCTTAAAATAGAATGAAGCCTGTTATATTAGGAGCGTACAATGCAAATATAACAGACAGAGGGAGAAAGAGGGAATTTGTTTGATGAGTTTTACAGGAAGGAACAGATAAAAGAAGTCATCAGTGAGTGTAAATGTATGGGAGACGGTGTTTTAAATGAGCGCAGAGCTGGAGATACAAAAAGGAGGTTCTAATAAAAGAATGCGGTGATTAATGAAGATGTGTTCTGGCAGTGGAGGGAGAGAACAGCTGAAGGTGAGGGGTTTAAATTATCACCCACAACTCTCTCTCTCTCTCTCTCTCTCTTACTTGCTGTCCTGCGGTATATGGTGTAAGAGCTACTAAATTTATTCTCTGGAGCATTATCTGTAGGAACAGACCTATCGAGTAACATTTCTAACTGAAATTTGCACCTTTCCCCTGGACAGGGAGAGTCTAGACTGAGTCTCCTCTGATGTCACTACTTCAGACTTTTGCTTTGAAGAAATGAAGATGATGTGCATCAAAGCTACTAGCCAAATAAAAACAGCACAAACAAAAATCCAAGATGTTACAACCAACGTATGGTTTAAAATAGGTGTGCACAATATGTCGCTTCAGCATTGATATTGCAATGTGTGCATTATCAATAGTCAAAATGCAGCATCTGCAATGTGGAGTTGGGATTAATATTGTTGATCAGCAATGAAGAATGTACAGTGTTTACATTACATTTGATTATTCAGTAGGGGCAGGACAAAATAGCCATATGCATGAGATGGTGCTTCTTGTAATGGCGAATTGAGCATATATCAATGTTGCAATTTTAAGAAATTTCTGTGCAGTTAATAAAAGGAATGCATCCTTTAACATTTTGATACATTTTTCCCTCTTCATTCACAAATATCATGATATATTGTGGATAGTTTTCCTGTGATATATCGCTGATATCGTGATCTATTATAATCGGGGGCAAAATATCTAAATTATATTGTATTGTATTGTATTACTATACCTAAATATCTAACTATTATTTAACTTTTATCTTATTTTATTGTTGAAATATCTAATAAATTCCATGTGTGTTCAAAATAAAAGGTCAAGAGAGGGTTTTCTTTAATGTCGAAAATCTTATTAAATGCAAGTGAATAATTCGATACCAGAATTCTGGTATCCCTAATGCAATGCAAGAATTACATTCAGGAGGTACGAAACATATTTAAGCTTTTATATGCAGCTGATATTAACAGGTGGAGTTTAGTGGAGTGTAGTTTAGTTGTCACCTTCAATCATTCTCCAGTCATTCGTTGGCCGCACCCATACATACGTCCTCTTTTTCAATGAATTCTCTGCACAACTTTAAAAGCATAAGACTTCTCAACTGCACATATTCTGTGTTCAGTTTCAACCCATCCCTGCTCACAGGAGGTTTAATTTTAGACAATCAGGCCTTTGCATTTCTATCAGCTGCATCTACTTCTGCAAAACTGCTTCATTAGTATGCAAGGCATAATCACACTCAAGAGAAGAAATTTGGTTAATATATCACCTTTAGCAATACAAATACAAGTGTTAAATGTAAATAAAAAGAAAATGTATTATACAAAAATAATACAAAATATATTCCTTTTCCAATACTATCTTATTTATTTATTCTTGCAATTTATATGATTCACTCCTCTACAAAATTATTTCAATCAATCTAAGGCAGAGATGACCAAACTAGGGCCTGCAGGCTAAAGTTGGCCCATGGTAAGATTTGATTTGGCCCGCCAACCCATCTGAGAAGAGAAGGAAAATGATGAGAATGTTAGGGCCAATGCCTTGAACAGAGCTCGTCATTTCTAATTTTAATATAACCTTATGTTTGTTTGTTTAATTGTTGCGATACAAAAAGCAAATGAAATGAAATGTTTCAAATATATGTTGTGCATGAATCAGTTTTTTGTTTTTTTTTAATGTAAGGATTCTCGATAAGCAAATCAAGTTTAATTAATGTATTCAGCATTGAACACCATTGTGTTAAAAAGGGATTGGTTGTTTTTATTGTAAGAATTTCATTATAAAATGTAAATATATATATATATATATATATATATATATATATATATATATATATATATATATATATATATATATATATATATATTATTATTATTATTAATACAGTATTTTTTCCAATTTATTTTTAAATATTAAGAAATTAGCATGGCAACTTGTAATAATGTAATCTAATGTAATACTTCGGTTTATTCAATTTTGGCCCACCACCATTAGTCAACTTTGGTTTTTGGCCCTTAATAAAAAAAGCTTGGGCACCCCTGATCTAAGTTAACAAATTCATTCCAAATTGAGCTTTTCAAGTCATCTGCCGAAATCATAGTCATATCGCAATATAACTTGACATTACTGAAAATACCAAGTTTTGGCATCAAAACTTAAGCTGGTGTGTTTACTCATAACGAAAGCAAAAAAAAAAAAAATGTATGATATTTTAATTTCTCTGAACTTAACATTTTAATTTCTTTAAACAATTCACCATGTCTCTGACATCCGCACTGATTGGATTGGTCAATATATGTTACATGACACAAGGTGGTCATTTTGCTTGTAATGCTAAATTTTGCTGAAGTGCAGCAGGACAAAGGCACAACCCGAACCCTCTGACGAAAGAGAAAAGTTAAATTAGTAAGTACACTCTCAGAAATAAAGATATGTGAGCTGTCAATGGGGTGATACTTTTACAAAAGGTACACACTTGTACTTAAAAGGTCCATATTACTACCTCAAAGGTACATATTACTACCTAAAAAGTACAAAAATGTTCCCCTTAGAATCTGTAGGTACTAATCTGAGGTACCAATATGGACCCTTCAAATGTGTACCTTTTGAAAAGGTACCACCCCAGTGACAGCTTGCGTACCTTTATTTTTGAGAGTATAGATATTTGCCGCAGTGGTTAGCACTGTCACCTCACAGCAAGAAGGTCCCTGGTTCGAGTCCGGGCTGGATCAGTTGGCATTTCTGTGTGGAGTTTGCATGTTCTCCCCGTGTTGGCGTGGGTTTCCTCCATGTGCTCTGGTTTCCCCCACAAGTCCAAACACATGTGGTATAGATGAATTGGGTAAGCTAAATTGTTCATAGTGTATGTGTGTATATCCTGGTCCTTTAGGTTGGGGGTTGAGCATTGGGCGAACAACCCACCTCATAAAAATTACAACATGGTTCGGCTAAATATCAAATTTGATATAAACAGCCCTGGGAGAAAGTCAAGAAAATAAAAGCTAAAAAAATGGAACATTTAAGTTAATTCAACAAAGAAAACACATTTGGTCAAGTGAGTTGTCAATTTTTTATTACTCAAACGAACTGAGGGAATCATTTTCCTCAAATCATTTGAGTAGTCTCAACTTATTAGGGTTTACAGTGCAAAATAAAATATCGCAATGTCAGATTTTTCCAATATTGTGCAATCCTAGATAAAAATAGACATAATTTTATTTTTCACTTAGGTGTCTTTAGTTTCTACATACTGTACCTAAAAGAAAAAGATTAATTATTTAGGTATTCACAGTGTTCATATAATATATTAAAAAACACTGCTATTAAACTTGAATTGTGTACATAATTATGGGTCGTTCTGAATAATTCAAGCATTTACTGCTAAAATGTTTTGCTTTAGGAGAAATGGTTTGGTTAGTTTTGGAAGTTCTTGGTCTTTAGTCCCAGTAGACCTTAGTTCCCCTTAGTACTTGACTGTAACATTTTCTAGTCCTTTAATGAGTTTTTTTTTTTTAAATGTGCTTTTCTTTATATGTAACAGACAGTAAATTCAATAGATTTCTTGTATCTTCTTTTCTGCTGTGTGTCTTTCTTGTGGTGTACTGCTGGGTTTAATTTTCAGCCTGTTATTTTTTTCTTTATGTACAGTACTCTCCCTTGGACTCCATTTTCAATAAATACAGCAATGCCCTTTCACTGTTATGTAGGCAACATCCAAATCTATATTTCTCCCTAAAGCCTAATAATAAGCGTGCTTAGAAGAACTCAAATTATGGCTGGCACATTGCTGGAATTATGCTGTTCAAGGGGAATGGGAAGAGGGGGAACAGTTATGTCACTCATGTCGCAACAGCTAGAGGCTGTCTGTATTGGCGGCAACAAAGCATCCACTGCAAATCATTAGTCCTTTGTGTCAGTACATCTTATATTGAATGAAGCATCAGTTTACTGAGAGAGATTTGTTGACAGATAAAAATCTTTATATGATAAGTTATATTGTCCAGTGTAAACACAATGCTGTGGTAAAGTTAACAGCGTTAATACAAATGTTAATAAAATGCAATAATTTCAGCCCAAAGTGTATGCAAATTGGATGTGTACATACAGTATAGGGATTAAGGAGCTGGCAGCTCTCTGCTATAGTTGCCCACTGTAGCTAAGCAGGGCTGCGGCTGGTCAATACCTGGATGGAAGACCACATGGGAAAGCTAGGTTGTTGCCAGAAATGGTGTTAGTGAGACCAGCAGGGGGCACTGAACTTGCGGTCTGTGTGGATCCTAATGTCCCAGTATAGTGAAGGGAACTCGGTGAGCGCTGTCTCTCGGATAAGACGTAAAAAACGAGGTCCAAACTTTCTGTGGCCTCCTAAACATACTTCCTTCATCCAGGTGGATGCTGCACAATGGTGGTGGATGAGGAAATTCCCTCTAATGTGTAAAGTGCTTTGAGTGTCCAGAAAAGTGCTATAAATGTAAGGAATTATTAATATTATAATTTTTATTATTAAAGTGATTAAATTGTAAAGATCTCAAGTTTTGGTTAGGATTATAAAGTAGTGATAGGGTCGATAGTGTAACTGTAAATTAAATTAGAACAAAATAGTCAAAAAACTCTTATATTAATATAATATATAATATACAGTCGGTCCCAAAATTGCAATGTTGATTTTATTTCTGTTATTCTATAAAGTAAAACTATAAGAAATATCTATCTTTAGTGTTAATAAAGTGTATATGAGTTGATGAAGCAAATAAAAATTTATTCAAATCTTAAGATATTGAATTGAAGAGTAACCAGACAGACCATTTAATGTGAGAACCAAATCTGGGGTTTGTCGACAAACAAAGAAAACTCAGAGTGGTACATTCCCATACATATGCAAATAATGAAGGACAGAGGAATCAATATTGAAGAGTCCCTGTGGATGAGACCCAGGTGGGTGGACAGAATGTAGGTTATTGATCCCCGTAGGCAGAGCGCTGAGCAGTTAAAAAGCAGACTGTCAATGGAAAATACAGACAGCGTGTTTTCCTCAAATGCAGAATTTCACATTGTCTGGACACAACAGTAGCCTCTGTTTGACCTTTCTGGGCCTCAGGGATCAGCTGTAATAACTATAACAATTACACAGAAAAGAAATGAGGGCCTAAACAAAAGTATTTTGTCTGCAGATGAGACGCTTTTGTTATTACCAGCCAGCATGACTCATAGTCAAAAAAGAGAGCAATGTAATCCATGCTTGTTTTATGCTGTTTATCATACATATGCTCTGAATGAGCTGCCAAAAATTAGCTGAAGGAAGCCAAAGTGTAGCGCAAGCCAACTAAAGTGCTACTGTGGACCACAACTTATGCATAACATTTACAAATTGTGAAATCGTGAAACACCCTTTTACCCTGTCTATATGATGATGCAAAAACCAATAGTGTGTGAGCAATGTAGTTAGTCTGTTTGTAGATTGCTGGTTAAAGTATCCTCAAGGTTGTTTGGAGACATTGCGCGTCCACGCTAAAAAGACAAGAACGCATCAACACGAAAGCTCGAAGCAAAACTGTCACTTGCAATCAGTATTATTATTACCATCGGATGTATTCAGTGTTCAGGCAGCTGCGCGTGTTGTGATTGACAGTTATAGGTGGGAATGTAAAGACGGATGAATTTGATTACACTCACACACAAAAAGAAAGAAAGGAAAAAAGCGTAAAACTAGTGCGTTCTGCAGCACTTCGCGTAAAGATTGCTCAAGACAAAGACGTGCGCTATAACTGTGTGCTGTCGGTCAAAGACTATTTTAGTAGTCTTATGGATTGCACCCCGTGTTTCTATTGCCCACTCTGAAGTGTAAACTTACCAGACTCCAAGCAGACCGGGCAACAGCCAAACCAGTTTTCTTCGGCGGGGATGCAGATGAACCATCGTGCGTGCGCTCGGTTTAAAACCAAACGATCTCCAGATTGAATTGGAGCTTAAAATGCGATCAAACCTCTGTGAGGTCCAAGCGATGCGGTTCTTGCAGCTGTGTTCTTGCAGCTGTATGCTGTCAGTTGCTGTCTAAGACAAATGCTATAGCCTTCTGTTTATGTGAGGCAGCAGCAGACGCGGTGTGGATGTGAATGGAGAATGCGGGATTTCGCTGATTGCGGCACCGCTGCGTTCATCCAGCGTGTTCTGCTGAGCGAGACGCTCTCTGTGTTCCGGGAATTATTAGAAACTGCCTCTAGGAAAAGAGCTGACTGCTCCTCAGAGAATATGCATCAAGCGGTGATTTATGAACCCCTTTACTTAGTTTTGCTGTTGTTGTGGATTAGCAAAGTGACAAATAAGAGACGTTGCACCAAAATGTACACAGTATCCTGGTGTGACTATACTTAATAATACGTAAAGGGGGTAAAATTGCCAGGTTTAATGTCATTTTTTTTAAATCCAATCGTTTGTAAGCACGAGAGAATGATTAATGCAAATTAGCTAATCAGCCAATCACGTTAACAACTCAATGCATTCAAGCATGTAAAGCTGGTCAAGATGATGAGCCCAAGTTCAAACTGAGCATCAGAGTGAGCATGAAAGGTGATTTGAGTGACTTTGATTGTGGCACTGCTAGTCTGTTTTTTTTTTTTTTTTTTAGAAACTGCTGATCTGCTAGAATTTTCACTCACAGGGTTCACAGAGGTCTTAAAAAAAGAAAAAGTATATAGCACGCTGCAGCTCTGTGGGTGAAAAGCCTTACACAACTATGTTTTAAGGTGATTGGAAGACAAAGCTAACTCTTCAGAGCATTTTGAACACATAACAAACAGTGAAGCAGATGAGCTACAGCAGCAGAAGAAAACCCTGGTGACGATCCTGTCAGCTAAGATAAGGAAAATGACACATAAAAACATATATTTTTTTAAATAATAAAAGCTTACAGTGGCGCCACAGTGGCTTAGTGGTTAGCACTGTCGACTCACAGCAAGAAGGTCGACTGGTTCAAGTCCAGGCTGGGTCAGTTGGCATTTCTGTGTGAAGTTTGCATGTTCTCCCTACGTTCGTGTGGGTTTCCTTGGGGTGCTCCGCTTTCCCCCACAGTCCAAAGACATGTGGTAGGTGAATTGGGTAAGCTAAGTTATAGTGTATGTCTGTGAATGAGTGTGTATGGGTGTTATCCAGTACTGGGTTGCAGCTAGAAGGGCATTTGCTGTGTAAAACATATGCTGGATAAGTCGGCGGTTCCTTCCTCTGTGGCAACCCCTGATGAATAAAAAGACTAAGCCGAAGGAAAATGAATGATGAATGAAAGCTTACAGTTCTGCATATATCAGTTAGTTACACCATATACAATTTATTTATTTATTCCATTTTAAGAGTCTCATTTTTAAAACTTTATGTAGAAACTTTCCTATAGATGAATGCACACCAGATGATTCTGGTTCATATGATGATGTAAAATGATTTGATTATGTCAATATCTAGGTTAAATATACTTAAAGTAGTGTTTCTCAACCACATTCCCGGATGACCACCAACACTGCATGTTTTGGATTCCCTTTTTGTCCTTCATACCCATTACAGGTCTTACAGTCTCTGCTAATGAGCTGATGATCTGAATCAGGGGTGTTTGGTTAAGGAGACGGTAAAATGTGCAGAGCTGATGTGCAGAGCTGATTCTTTAGGAACACAGGCGTTGAGTTTAATTACAGCTGTACACATTTTTTTGCCAAGTTTGTTTTTTATAGATCACACATTTTAAGTGGGAAGTGGCGTTTAAAAATGACAAACTTTGAAGTTGAAAACCAACATATCATTTCCAAAATATATATACATACACAAAATAGCAATAGTTTGAGTGAACACAATGTCTATCCGACAGCTAAAGCTTAGCTGAAATTGGGTCACGCAACAAGACAATGATCCCAAGCACACCGGCAAATCTATAGCAGAACTAAAGCTGAAAATGAAAAGAAAACAAAAGGTGTCGCAATAGCACAGTCAAAGTCCAGACCTCATTTTGACAGAAATACTTTGCCAATAGCTGTGCAAAACACTCCTCCAGAATGATCTTAGAGATTGAGATGGTCAAACAGAAAATGATTAAGTAGTTACTGCTAAAAGTGGATCTACAATCATCTTGGTGTCCCAAGTTTATTACCCATGGCTTTTTAATCTTGGCTTAATTTTATTAAATAAATAATGACATGGTGTGAGATGTCACGTTATGTTGCTACTCTTAAGGTTTTATTTTGAAGATATTAAGAAATGCCAAGGAACTATATATATATATATATATATATATATATATATATATATATATATATATATATATATATATATATATATTAGTTGTAATTATGGATTTGAATAACATTTGAATCTTTGTTTTATTTTATAAAGAAATTACAACATTTCTTTAAAATTTCAATATTTAAATACATTGAATATTTACATTTATTGATTTATTTATTTGAATATTGTGATTTCGAGCATTAGTTTTTACTTTTAAAAAGATTACATACTTCTATTGTGAGAGTGACTCGAATGTACCAATTTAAAAATACAAACTATCAGGCTGTTCATTCATCATTTTCAGCACCACGGAGAGCTCCATTCAGCAAGAAGAGCAGAAACACGTATCCTTATGACAATCTCCTTCCCATCACAACCTTTTCTATCACACATTTGTATGAAAAATGAAAAAAAAAAACATCATTCAGAAATAAAAAAGTTATAATCTTCTGCAATTAAACGTTAGAATGAATCTCTTCATATTTGTGTGTAAATTGATGCTTGATTACATGCTTTCCCACAAGACATTTAAAATGTTGGAATGACTTCAGTGTAAGTGCAGTGCTCCGTTTCAAACCCTCTTCACAGTGAGGCACTTTGTATTCAGATGTGCTCTGTCGCTCTGACAGAAACGAAAGGAATGGAAGAAATCTCTATTATTATGACAGACATTAACATTCTGAGACTAAATCATGTAGAAATGTGCCGGACCAGATGAGAACACACGCACATACACACACATGCACACACACACACACACACACACACACACACACACACACACACACACACACACACACGCACACATTTTAATAACAGTATGATGAAACCTTTACACACAATAACTTAATCAGGACCTAGATTATTATAATGGCTGAAATATTATTGTATCATTGCTGTATACACGTTTTCAGTGATCTTAACTGTCCAGTCCACATGATTAACCCTTTAAGGCGAGACACAACAGACAAAAACATATTTGTGTTTTCATACGTGTGTTTTGAGATTTTAGCTTTTCATTCAAAATATATCTAGAATATATGCACTAGATTTCATTTACAATTAATATTTAAAGGCAGTTTTCTGAAATGTATTTTTATTCTCCTGCACTGAGGATTTCAGCACTTCAGGTCAAGTCAAGTTGGCTTTATTTTCATTTCAACAATATACTGTACAGTGCAGTACACAGGGAAACGAAACAATGTTCCTTCAGGACCAAGGTGCTACATCAAACAACATAAATTGACAAGGACAAGAAACAGTACAAGATTAGAAACAGTAACGCCGAGCAGGATGTTGTGCAAATATTGGAGCAGATATAAATGCTGTACATGTAAACATTTGTCAATGAAATGTTGTACAGAGCAGTGTAAAAATAGCAGTTGTGCAAATATTGCTGTCATTAACCCCTTTTACACATACAGACCTTTTTGTCAGTTTTATAATACCGGTAAATTCATTCTGGCAATTTTCAGGAAAGAGAAGTTGTAACATTACCGGTAATTTGCCGGAAGCTTCGCTGTGTGAACACAGAAAAAAGATTGCCTGAGAGACGTCTACTTTAGCCAATGTGAACACGTTCACGCATTCACATCTGCGCAGTTTATGAAAGTAAAAGCCTTTGAATATTTTTCCAGACACATTTAGCTGCTAGATGTTAGTCACACAACATTTCCATGTTGCTTCCTAATGCCAACTGTGTAAAAAATTATTGATAAAATGCTTATGATAAACTGCCATTTGTTTATCTTCAAGCTGCTTAAGTTGCTTGACGTGTGTGCATGTGAAGGAGCCAGTGAGCGCCAGCAGACACAAGGATATTATGAACATCTCAACATGTTAAAGTGTTCCTCCAAATTTTCACAATAATTATCCATCCACAGAATTTGTATGTAGTCAAGTGTGTAAACATTCAGCTGCGAATCGCACTTCTGCCTTTAGATGTCTCACAAAGCAGCTGCATGAAAGCTAAAGCTTTAAATAAAAGTGAAATCATCAACAAAAGGCCGACCCTCACTATGTTTACAAATACAAGCGTGGCCGTTTAGAGGTATTTTCTGGTTAATAATGTCAGAATTTACCCTTGTTTTTTTTAACGGACGTGTGAATGGTCTTTTCCGGAAAATTACAGAACGCCAATGCATGTGTGAACACCTTTTGTATGACATTACCTGTCGTTTCGGAAATTTTCTTGATATTTACCTGTATCACTGTGTGAAAGGGGCTTTTGTCAGTTATTTTTTTTTACTTACATGCTCCAAACTAGTTTTATTCATATCCTGAAGGTTTATTGGAGATTATGTTCCCAAATAATATATGCTTGATTAGATGCTACATTTTATTCTACACAAACTGCGTTTTTCTCTTCTTCTGGCTGTTGACAGTATTTAATTTTTATTATGAAGTGATAAAAAAAAGAGTTCAAAAATTACTTTTTGAACTATAATGTTAAAACAAAACTAAACAAGATTTTTGAACCAGACTTCATCCAATAATCCTATTTTTTTGATAAATATATGCAAAATTGCACATATTTCTTTATTAAAAAATGCCTTATTTGTACATTTAAACAGCGTTTTAGAAAGTGATTAAAGTAAAAAAAAAAAAAAACCTGCAGTTCACAACTGAACAATTACTCCCTATTTTCAGGTTTTTTTCTGTTAAACACAAAAGAAGATATATAGAAGAATGTTGGAAACTGGTAACCATTGATATCAGTAGTAGAGTCACTAGCTACGGGTATCTGACATTTTTCACAGTAAACATATTCTGCGTTTAACTGCAAGAAGAGAGTGAATAAATGATGATTTTCAGTTCATTTAATGGTGTGCTAAAGTTTTGATAAAACTACACAAGTGTCCTGAAAAACACTCAGTACACGTATATAGTACCTAAATACAAAGATCAAGCAGTCAAATTGTGTCACACGCTCATCAAAACCTGTTCGTGTCCCTTCAGTTGCCAGGCAACACAAGCCGCAGGTCTTCATGCGTCGATGCTCTCAGTGGAGGAATCCAGCTTCATTCCC